TTTTTAAAAAAAATGCTTCCAATTAATTGCTTATTATTGGGTCATTCTGCAAGTTCATATCTTCTTTGTTTAGTTCCTATAATTCTTATATTTCTAGAAGTCTATTTATTTCTTTTCTATTATGAGTTGTTTTGGAAAACAGGTTTTCAAAGTAGTTACTAATAATCCAAATTTTGGTAATATCCATTGTAAATTAGCCTTTTTCCTTTCCCACTGCACTGATGTAGATCTTTTGTTTCTCTTCTTCCTCTTCCTCTTCCTCTCCCTCTTCTTCTTCTTCCTCTTCCTTTTCCTCTTCTTCTTGGTAAAATTGGCTAAAGATTTGTCCATTTTTTCTTTCAAAGAACCAGCTCCTTGATTCATTCTTTTTATTGTTATTTAGTTTCAATTTCATTAACTTTTGCTTCAATCTTTATTATTTTGTTCCACATACTAGCTTTAGATTTGGATTGTTCTTGTTTGTGTAGGACCTTCAGGTGCATCATTAGGTTATTTGGGCTCATTCTGTTTCTGAATGTGAGTGTTCACAGCTATAAACTTCCCTATTAGGACTATGTCTGTTGTATCCCATAGATTCTGGTATGGTATACTGGAATTTCAGGTTCTTCTAGGAGCAAATTTCTTCTCTGCTTTCTTTTGTGACCCACTGATTATTCAACATGGTATTGTTTAATTTCCATGTATGAATAATTTCTATGGTTTCTTCTGCTATTGATTTGTAGTTTCAATGCACTATATTTTGACAATGTGCACAGGACAATGTCAATTCTTTTGCCTGTATTTAAGCATGCTTAATGAGCTAGTATGTCATCTATTTTAAGGAAAGTTCCATGTGTTTCTGAAATGAATGTGTATTCTGTTTTTGTTGGGTGGACCACTAAGTACATATCCATGAAGTCCATTTTTTCCAAAGATTTGGTTCTCATATTTCTTTGTTGATCTTTCATTCAGTTGATCTATCTATTTGTAACAGTGGGGTATTGAAATTTTCCACTGTAATTGTATTCTTTTTTTTTTTTT